GGCTTCAATTTGGTCTTTCAAATTCTTGATGGGTTCTAATACGGATTACAAAGAAAATGCTACACTTTCTACATTATATCATTAAATAATGTACAGTCTTATGTGGGTTTTTTTGTATAAATAAATAGTTGAGGTGTTAAATTAAAAATTATATCTCTTTTACTAACTAATGGAGAAGTAAAATGTAGAAATGAACTATATATACTACCCTTGGGTGGCCAAGTAGGGCGATAGTGATTCCTAAGTGTATTTTATAATATATTTGAGGGTTGTTTTTATAGTAAACCTCGTGTGTTTGGCCTTTTTGTAGTAAGCCTAGTTAGTAAATTCACCTATTATTTGCGAATTTCCGTATGTTATTAGCCCAATTGTATTATTTGTGAACTATATGCCTTAGACGTTTTATTTGCGAATTATTTTCATATCCGATTTTTTCCTGAATTTTTACAAACGTATTTTTCACCATTTACCGTATCATACTCGTAAAATTCCCGTACCCGTGTATTTGAAATGTTATATTGATTTTAACCAGGTGGTTCATGAAAAGTGCTAAAATCAGGATTGATATTGCCATATTTTTCAAAACGTATTATTGACAATGTGTCGTATTAAACCCATATGTATATGTACCGTATTTTGTCCCGTATCCAAATTTTATAGCCGAATTTTTATAAACATATTTTTCACCATTTGTCATATCATACTCGTAAAATTTCCGTACGGTTTTTTTGTCGTATTCATATTTACTAACTAAGGTAATAAGTACTTGCTGGTTTCATAAATGTGTTCTAGTCTCAGTGTGTTTGGCCTTTTTGTTAGTGAATACATTTTGGTTTTGGAAATGTAACCTTTACTCTCAATTTTTTATGGACAGTTAGGTTATTCTGTTTAATTTTGTAAGGAAATGAATTTTTTACCATTCATCCAATTCAATCAATCTTTATATCCAAAATTAGTCAACAATGTTGAGAGGTTAAATTGATGAGATTATCGATAAATTTGAAGGTTCAATTGATGACACTTTCATAATCAACAGATGTTTACTACAAAAAAAGGCAAAACACCAGGGAGTTACAATTACATTTCTGAATTCAACAGGTAAAAAAACGCTTATATATGATAAATATGTTGATAAAAGTGATTTATGAAAAGGATAATATTTTACAATCCAATCTCACAAATTTTTTCTCACATCTCCGACGCGAAAGCTCGTAAATAGGTTCCGTCTACTCACTATAAATCTCATATATCCAATTAAGAGTTATCACATCAGGATTATGAAATTATATTGTACATCAATGTTTATTCTTTAAAAAAAAGTTGATTGAAGTAGTCCATGAAGTTCACGTGAAGGATATTCGAGTACATCATGTAAATGAAGCCCCACTGTACAAATACAACAGCTTGTTGAAATGGAAGATAAAAAAGGAAGAATCCATCATTTAATATTCAATAACTCTCCACTTTTTGGTCTTTTGAAGGAGTGGTTCAGGGCCATTGGCATCTTTCTGGTGTTCTAAATAAAAAGTCTTTAATTAGCAAAAACAATCTTAATTTTACATTTAAAATTAAGTAATCAATCAATATTCACTAGATTTTTCAATACTTTATGTACAACATTAACAAAAAAAAATAATAATAATAATATTTCATTTACCCTATAAGATTGCTCAACATGAACGTATCGATTGTTATTGAAACGGGGTTTTTGATAATCATAGAGTTAATAATATTTTTCAAATTATAAAAAAACACAAGTGGATGAAGCTGAACTAGGTGTCGAGGAGGAGATTCCAAAAGAAAGAAAAAGATCAAAAGGAATAATGAAAACTTTTAGGTTATATTAATAATGTAGATAAAAAAAACCTGAAGCCACAAATAAGGCATGAGATGCAAAGTCTAAAATAGGAAAAGTCAAATGATTTTACAAGTGGCGACTGACAGCCTCATAGCTCGCACTTTATCCCCACTTCAACTTTCTATGCGAATCTATTTCTCTTACACAAGTTTGTATTTTTTATTTTTTTTATGGATGAGGATGTCCAAGCCAACTTTATTTTTTGAGAATGTCTAAGTCAACTTATGTGTATCTCAACTAATCTCTTAGGACTCTAAAACTATCGGCCGGTAAAAGTATCTCCCAAGATCTTGAAACTATCGGCTGGTAAGAGCTCTAGTAGCTATCTCTATTAACAACTAATGAGAAACTCGATCTCGGATAAAGATTGGCCCACAACCAAATCTTATAAACTTTTTCTCATAATCTTGATGTGATAGTTCATAATTGGTCATCTTGTAAATGGGCAGATGAGACCCATAACGAGTAGACAAGACCCATTTATGAGATAACCAATTGCGAGTTGCAATATCAGAGTTGTGAGATAAAATTTGTGAAATTGGATTGTAAATGTAGTATTACCCCTCAAACTCAATACTTCTCAAGTGATACATTGAAGAGTCCTTATTGAATCACTTGGCCACCAAAAGATAGTTTCTGAAATTGAAGTTACAATGCCTCAACATGTAAGGAATCAATATTTTTTCATCACTTTGCTTCAAATCTATTTTATGACTTTAATTTATTAAAAATCACTACTATTTTTTATTGCTTTAATAATAATAATATTACACATTTCAAGTGATAATATTTGGATGTAAATGTTCATACAAGCTATAAGCTTAATCAATAAAGTCTCTTATGAATCAAATCGTTTCCTTTTGTAGTTTGTTTATTTTACGGTATGGATTTTGTCTTACCTAATATTTTTTTTTTTTTTCTAATAATAACTAGTAACAAATATTACAATCAATAAATAATTTAAATGGAACCAGCTTCATCATCAAATTACAGTTTAAATTGAAATCTATTTGATTAATTTAAATATATTTTAGTATTTATACAACTTCAAAGTGCTAATCCTGGATACGCTTTGGTATATACAACTAGCCAACCATGGTGCCTTGTGATTGGTTGGTTGACTTAGAATGGTTGACTTAGCACTTGGCTTATTGATAGGAGTAAGAGTAATGATAAGGGCACAACTAAATTTCACAACTTTCGCTTACAACCCTCGACGTGGTAGCTTGTAATTGGTTAGTTTGCAAATGGATTCTACCTGTTTGTAATGTGTCCTGCCTATCCATTTGCGAGCTGACCAATTATAAGCTACCAAGTCAAGGGTTGTGAGAGAAAATTGTGAGATTGAATTGTGACCTAACATTACTGTATATATAGACCAATCAAAGTAGAGCAATACCTAATTAACCTTAAAATTTATTAAATTATTTTATGACTACTTTCTTTGAAAAATTTCAAAATGGATCATTCATTTTAATAGCTTATTTTTACCAAATGATCCAATGCTAAGTTTTGTCTAAACTTCACATTTTATATAATTTAAAAGATATCACTTAATCTTCTTATTAACAGTACTGTTAACCCTCCCCAAGCATATATGAAATTAGAATAATTATTATTTTTTGATAAAATTGAAAAATTAAAAGTAGTATTAGAATATGATGAGTTTGACTTTTTGTATTCCTATTAAGAGTATTGCAGTTGTATCAAAATAATTATATTTGAGTGGTTAAGTGGTTTGATAAAGATTTTTGGATGTATTACTTAAAAGATCTTAAATTTAAGACCCTTTTTAATTACTAATAAGGATAATTATCAAAGCTCTTAATCCCATAATTGTTAGATTTTAATAGATGAAATGAGGTCAGCACATTTGATTATTAATTCGAGAAATGAAATTTGGTTCATTGAGGGTATTTTCGACATCAAGAGATTAATGATCAGCCAAGCCGTTCTTATGTGGGCTCCACAACTCAGCTGTCGTAATACAAAACCCACGTTACCCTAGTGGCTCAGATTCAAAGCTCCTAAGTGAAGGCATCTTTAACTCTTCAAACATTGCGCCACGTTTCACTTTACTCGATACGGAGGATCGCCCAAGATCCATCACAAATTATCCAGAGTTCAGGTTTAGATCTACCCTCCATCTCATCAAATATTAATCCTACGTGGCATATTACGTGTCACTATTTCAGGCACTCACTTTTCCACGTCAGCATCTCGAGTGGGTAGTGTATATATATATCTTTTTGACAATATCTATCTTGTCTTCAAACACAAAAAAACTGGCCTTGCTGTTTCTCAACTGGTCAAAAAGCCTTTTTCTCTGTTATGTTATAATAATTAAAACAAAACCCTAAAAAAGTAAAATGTCCTTATTTTAATTTTAATTTCGCTCTCTGAAACTTGAATTTCTGAGAATTTTGGCGTCTGCTTCCCGTTCGAATGAAGTTTATCATAGGTAAATTGAATAGCTGTTTGTTTCCGTTTGTTCATTGCTGAGAAAATTACGAACTGTGTTAACTGTTTTATTTCGAAGAAACAAGCGACTCTTATGATGCTAGTTGATATTTTTTTTGGTGAAAAATAAACATACTCAAATTAATATGATTTTTCTTTTTCCGCATTTCGAAGATTTGGACTTCATTTGATTTCTTCTTTTTAGAGTCAAAATATGAGATATCTAATTACTCTAATTTCAACACTTTTTTTCTTTTTCATCTGGATGTGGAATTATGAGAATGATGTGTCTGCTACTATCTGTTTGGTTGGATGAAAAAGCACTTTATTTAGCATGTTAATGGTTGGATTAGGCTTCGTTAAGTGCATTATCTCGCATTAATGAAGCCTGAAACTTGATTTTGAATTTCATTATTTCATTTTTTTTCCCTCTAAATTGTAAATTTCAATTTGACTGGTTTGAATCTGAAGCCATTATTTCTTTGTTTGTGCTAAATTCTATTTTCTTCCTAAGAAATTAAGCAAATAAAGAGAAAAATTAATTTAAATGTTTTCTTGTGTTTTTGTGGTTTTAAGAAATTGAGGACTTATGCTAGTTAAGTTTTTCCTCCAAATCAAGCATATTGTTTAAGCCAATAGTTGAGCCAGGCNAAAAATTGAATCTAGGTTGAAGCTTCTGATTGTTGATGAATTGATAACTTTTTTGCAGAATGTTTTATGGACCTGGCGGGCCATATGCATTATTTGCCGGGAAAGATGCAAGCAGAGCTCTTGCAAAGATGTCTTTTGAGGATAAAGACTTAACTGGTGATATTTCTGGTCTTGGTCCATTTGAATTGGAGGCTTTGCAAGATTGGGAATACAAGTTCATGAGCAAGTATGTTAAGGTCGGAACTATCAAGAGCACAGTTCCGGTTTCAGATGAGACCTCCACCGCCGGTGAATCTGCAGAAACTAAACAAGGTGATGCTGCTAAGCCTGTCGAAGGTGATGCTGCTAAGCCTGTCCAAGATGGTCCATCAGAAATTGCTGCTGTTAAAGCCGAGGAACCCCCACCTGTTAGTGATGCTCTGGAGGAGTAATGCTTGGTTCAACAACTCAAAAAGGATACAATTTCTTATGAAAATGCTGAAAAAGAGTAACTATTTCTGGCTGTATGTTTGTTTTTAAGTTTTGTTCACATATAAGTTTACTTTACTTTGCTAGTCTAGGAAACTTCTGCTGCGGACTTGCTTTAATGTTTAGATTATCAAGAAAATAAGTTGGGCATATCTTACTTTCAGTATTCAGACTGGGATTGGTGTAGTTTATGTGTTTGAGGTACTCGGCGGCCAGCTAGTACTCTTATGTGATAAATCAGGAGTTTGTCTTATGGAAATGTATGGTATCATTTTCTTTCCTTTTTTTTCTCTTCTTTTTGGAGTAAATTATGCAATCATTAAACGGAGGGTCAGTTTTTCTCTACCCCTTTCATGCATCACTTACTAGCCATTGATTTCGGAAACCATTGCTTCTGGGGTAAACAGGTCTTCATTGCAAATCTGCTGCAATTCTTAATCAATAACAGTTTTATGAAACTAAGGGTAGATTCATGGTCTTCATCCTTTCAAAGAAACAAGGTAGAGATGAGAATATAGTTGTAAAGATTTGTGAAAAGGACAGGTTGGATTGGATTGGTTTATCACGTTATACATGTCAAATATTGTTTACCTTAAAATCCATAAATTAAATTTGATAGTATTTGTACAGACACCTATGATGTGGTGTATCTATTCTACTTAAATTTATTTGGATATAAGAAAATCTGAAGTAATTCATTCTAAAATTTTATTAAAAAGATTCTTAAGATCCATCTGTAGTATCAAAAAATTGAATATGGGAAGAGCGCTTGTTAAAATTAAAATCTAAACTGTGATTATGAATTTATGATATGATGAATCCACTGAAAAGACACTCATTCGGTAGCTCAGCTACTGCCCAACTCTGTTTTAAAACCCAGACCAGCCAGATCGAGTCCTGGCAGCCTCTCCCGTCCAGTTCGGGTTCAGGGGGGTTTCTGTTGTATTTCAAATTTATAAGGACTAATGAAATTTTTAGGGATGTTTTAATATTTCATAACTTTGGGACTAATTGAAATTTTTCGGCATTTAAAATAAATTAAAATTTCTAATTTGCAATTTGCAATTTGTAATTTTTAGGGGTATTATAATACACTAAAATTTAAGGGACTAAATTGCACAACCAAATCAATTTAGAAAATGAGATAATCAATTTTGGAAATTACATAATTACCCATGTTAATTACTCATGTTTTAGTAAGGTTATGCTTGCATATATATATATATATTAAAATGTTACGGAAACTGATGTTTGCACTGAATTTTTACACCAAACGACGTGTCCACTGAATCAGACGAGCCACGTATCAGGTTAACAAATATTTCGCCAACGATCGTCTATTGTAATTGGACGGTCGTTCATTTGAAATGGACTTCCGTCCATATTATATGGACGATCGTCCACCTACAATGGACGCCCATTCATAATTTAAACTAAAAAAATTTGGCCTAAATTATTTATGGACTGTGAGGACGGTCATCCATCTTTTAATATTAACAAATTTTAAAATTTAAATTTATTTAATGCATTAATTGTGAATTCTAATTGAGTTAGTGTCTTATTCTTACTATATTTGCCCAATTACTTTGAATATAGACTAGCATTTAATGAAGATAACGACATTTACATACTCAAATGTTGTAAAATTGTTTAAATCAAATAATGGACAGGCATCTATATAAAAGGGAGGCTTGTCCATTGAATATGGATGTCCATAATTTTTGTTTTAAAATTTTTTTATTTTAGACAATGGACAGGCATTCATTCATAGTAAATGGACCTCGTCCATATTATATGAACAAGAGTCCATTGTCATTTTCTCATGGACGGGCGTCCATTATAGGTGAATAACCATCCAATAATCATGGACACCCATTATTTTGCTTTTAAAATTTTTTGGACAGGCGTCCATCTTATATGGACGCCCATTCATAGTAAATAGACACCCATCCATATAAGATGGACGGGCGTCCATTATTTTTCATTTAAAATTTTTTGGATGGGCGTCCATCTTATATAGGCATCCGTCCATATAATATGAACGGGAGTCCATTAAATATGGGCGGGCGTCCATAAATGTTGGACGGTCGTTCATTCACGAAAGACTCCAGCGTAGTCGTGTCTCACTGGTTGCCATGTCCTTTGGTACAAAAATTCGGTGTCTGTAGCATTACTTATATATATATATATATATGTTGACTAGGTGTATCCAAGTCAGCTTACACATATATATATTATGACTAGGTGTATCCAAGTCAGCTTAAACGTACCTCAACTAATCTTCCGAGACCTTGAAACTATCGGTCAAATAAGAGCTCCAATAACTACCTCTATTAGCAATTGAATAGAGATTCAAACTTAAGACTTCTTAAGTAATACATCTAAGAAATCTTATCGAACCATTCGATCACCTGAGGGTTGGTTAGGAGAAATAGTTTTTTAGTCTTCTGTAATGTCATTTACTTCAAATTATAACCTTTGGGCTTCATAATGTTCCCCTAAAAATAATAGGAAATTATATAAAAAAATTCTAAATTTTTTAAGGCAAAATACTTTTTCAAGTTATAAAAAGATCAGAACTAAGATTATGCGTTTATTTTATAAAATAAAGGTAAAATAATTATGTGAAAAAGAAAAAGTTAATATACTATAAAAAAAAAAAAAATTATCTGCCGTACCATATGTTTCAACATTTAACCAACTTTTTTTTCTTTCAAAAACTATGCAATTTATTATTGTTATTTTTAAATTACTTTACCATAAATCAATCTAATTAACGAATATTAATATCTTCTGATATAATAAAATTAAGTATAATAATTTGTTTTTAATGACATTATAACAAAACACGTGGCAAATGAAATGACTCAACCAACATGATAATGGCATCTTAATTAGAGTAAACGACTTTTTCCCACCCAAGGTTTCGCCTAATGATCTTTTCCCACCCAACAAGTTTCCAAACGACATTTTACTATCCAACATTATGTTCCAATAGTAATTTTTGTTAAATACAATATATATTCATCGTAAAGATGAAAATACCCTTTAATTTAAACTTAAATTTATTATTATTATTATTATTATTATTATATTATGTCATATCAACAGAGTCAATTACTTATATACTTACTTTTTAATTATAAAATTACTGATATACCCCAATTATGTCTAAACGGATAGTTTACTATATTTTAATATTTCCATTCTGCAAAGACATCTCTCTCACCCACTGCCTAATTGACGCCACCACAACCTCTTGTTCATGATAAGCCAACACAGTGCCACCACCTAGACAATTGCTACCACCCACCAAACTTCATACCCGGAAGTCGCCACACCAAAACCCCTTTATCCCCCACCCCGCAAATCTCGTAAATTGCTGGCCACCGCAACTTTTTACTTTGCACGATCGCTACTCCCTACTTGGATTTCGGCCAATTTTAGGCACCAACACCCTACTTGACACTACTGTCGACTTCATCCCCCCACCCTCATCAAAACCCCATCACCCTCTGGCCGCACTAGCTTGTCGTCCGCCGGCTGCCACAACTATTCTTGCACTACTGCTGCACACTTGGGAGCCTCGCCACCGCCAATTTTCACCTAGAATCATACACAACTCACACCTTCTACTAATTGCTTATTGTATTTGGTCGATTGTTGTGTATAATTAAGTTGCCAACGATCCCTCTGTCATCGAATTTCTGCACTCCCAAGCTCGGCCCACAATCAACACCAAATCTGTTTTTCTTAGAAAAAGAAAATAGATTCTCTATTTTTATATTATGAACAATGGATTCTAGTTTAACACCAAGAAGTGAAATGGTTTTAGAATTTCTAGAAATAAAACAGAGTTTTCAGAAAATTCACGCAATTAGAATTTGATATTGTGGTGGACTCGATATAGGGTGTTTCAGTGAAAAAAAAAAAGTTAAGAATTGGGTAATCACAGGATCCAAATCGGTCGAGTGAAGGAGGAGGGGGAGATGAAGAAGCTGAAGATGGGAGGAGGAGGGAGAGATGGAGAAGAAGAAGATTGGAAGGCAACGGTTTGGTAATAGTAGAGGAGGGGGAGATGAAGAAGAATAAGTTGGGAGGGTAGTTTGGTAATAGCGGAGGAGGGGAGATGATGAAGAAGAAGAGAGGAGAGTTTTTTTGTCTTTATACTGTTTATGTCATACACTTACCTATGCTTCCAATTTTAAATTTTGATTTTTGATGCATAGTGTTAATTGACCATTCTACCCTTATTTATCTCGGACTTTTGACCATCCTGTCATTTTTCACAACGAAATTTACTAACAGATCTATATTGTGGGTAATAAAGTGTCATGTTGAAACTTTTTGGGAGAGAAAGGTAGTTAGGCCAAACTTTGGGTGTTTTCTCTTTTAATTAGTATACACAAGTAATTTGTCCTGAACGACGCGCATTATAACTGTTACGGTGTTACCCCTTGTTTTTCCGCTCTACTTTTAAGTCTGGTTCATTTTCAAATTCAATCTCCGGGAATTTCCCTCTCTCTCAGAGGCTGTTGAGTTAGTTAAGATGGGAGTGAAGAATTTATGGGATATTCTAGAATCATGCAAGAAAACTCTTCCACTTCACCATCTTCAGTAAGTTTTCTACTTAAAATTTTCTTCTTTACTGTCCCAGAACGTTTCTTGATCGTTCGCTTGTTTGCTTTTATTTTTCTTTTAATCAGGAACAAGAGGGTCTGCATAGATCTATCTTGTTGGATGGTGCAACTTAAAAAGGTTAACACATCTTACGCTTCTCACTACGACAAGCTCTATCTCAGGGGTCTCTTTCACCGTCTCAGAGCTCTTATTGCTTTGAATTGCACCCTCATCTTTGTTACTGGTACTCTCTTTTCTTCTTACACTCATCGCCTCCTCCTCCACAATAGCGGAACCATTTGCTTTAAAATAAAATCTCAGATTTCGCCTGTTTCCGATTAAGTTTTATGACATTTTTCACGGGACTTATCTGACAAATTAAGGAAGTTTATGATGAGTTTCCAATGTCATGAATTGAACTTGTATTTTGATCAAATCTTATGGGAATTTAATGGAATTTTCAATTTTCTATTTTAAGTAGTTGAATTTGGCTTATTGGTTTTAGCAAAATTGGATAGTAAATCATAACTTACGGAAGCATTAATTTTTGAGTTTGTTTTTGACATTGTTAAGATATCTTTTGTGTTTGATTGAAGTAGTTAAAAATGTTTTTGGGGTCGAAGAATCACTTAGAGAGCTCTTGGAGAATCTTTTGATAAGTACTTTCAATGAAAGTGCTTTTAAATAATGCGGTTTTACCTGAAAACCGTTCCTACTCTCCCAAACTTGACTATGATTTTCCCACTCAATTGTTAAGTGGGACTATACATGTTAATTGTATTTTAAATGACAACATAACAAAAATTTGACAAATCTTTGTTATGCTTAGATGGCTCAATTCCTGCGATCAAATTATCCACTTACAGAAGGCGCTTGAACGTAGGGTCTGAGGTACGGAACTATATAAGTCAAACCTGACATTGCTTAATTTCTTTTACAAGTTTTGATTAATAATTGTAATTGGAATATTTTTATTCATACTCTTGCTAACCTATGTTGATTGATGAAAGGCAGGTGACTGAGAATGAAGCAAACTCAGATAAAGCGGCATCACTTCGAAGAAATATGGGATCTGAGTTCTCATGCATGATTAAAGAAGCAAAAGCTCTTGGATTAGCATTAGGGGTTCCTTGCTTAGATGGGTAATTGTGGTAGAACTTTAGTTTTCACTTATTTGAAGACTATAATTTCAGATTCAAGATGACTGATTATTTTTTTCAGAATTTAAGAAGGTTGAATTGCATTTTAAAGAAACTGCTTTTCACTGCCATATTATATGTAATGATTTTCGGAACTTCTCTTTATGATGTAAACCTGAAAATATAAATTATGTGTAACATGCAGTGTCTATAAGTTCTATATGTTTGTTTCCAATATCCGTAGAGCAAGCACTTTATAGGGCTCAGGGTCTACAACTTCTTAGTTTAAGCCATGGTTGTACCCTAGCCTCGCAAAAAAAACCCAACTAGTAATAATGCTGTTTTGGAAAAAATAGTTTCTATTCCAACTAAGTCTTGACATCTTTTCTGAAGAATTCTAATAATAAAGACATCACTAACTTACAAAGAAATGATTACGGAAGTAGATATTTCAGATGCTTTTTGGGTTTCCTTATTTTCATTAGAAAATCCAGGACTCTTTTAACTTTTTTTCTTTTCCCATTCTCAGGATTGAGGAAGCTGAAGCACAGTGTGCACTATTAAATTTGGAATCGTTGTGTGTAAGATGATGCCTGTTCTTACTTTCTTCAATTATGAATCATTTGGGATCATCTGAAATCCATTTAAAATTTACCAACGCTGGTCAACATCTTAATAGTCTTTTCATTATCATTACTATTGTCAGGATGGATTTTTCTCATCAGATTCTGATATCTTTTGTTTTGGTGCAAAGACAGTGTACAGGGACATTAGCCTTGGTAAGTGGATGGGATGCCTTTTTTTTTCTTTCTTAGAGTTATTTAATATCATTTCCTTAATCAACACCAATATTGCTAACCAGTTTCTTAAGGAATTAGGGGAAGGAGGCCATGTTGTTTGTTATGAAATGGTTGATATACAAAGAAAACTTGGATTTGGAAGGAACTCATTGGTAAGTTTCTATATTTGTTGAAGCTACTTTCTCGAACATATTGCTTTATTATTTCCCCCTAAGGGTGGACCTTTTATTATTTTCTTGGGTATCTTTTCTGCAATAAGTATGCATAGCAAGGGTTTGACCAGTTAAATGCATTTATTTAATATATTTTGAAGCTACTAATTAACATATTTCTGTATATAATAAATCCACTAATGAGACGCTCATCATTATTTATGTGATTTTTAGATTACTATGGCCCTTCTTCTTGGAGGTGATTACTCCAAAGGAGTTCACGGTCTAGGCCCAGTATGCTTCACTTCTCTTTTGCTTTTTAAACTCTGGTTGATTACATTTTTCTTATTTTCAAAATGCCATCAGAAAAATGCTAATGCTGTGGCAAATTTACCCTTGGCTGTAGGAGTCAGCATGCCAGATTGTTAAATCCATTGGAGATAATGTTGTTCTTCAACAAATTGCCTCAGAGGGACTGTCCTTGGTAAAAAAGGCCAGAAATTCAAGGAATTTAAATGGTGAATAAAGGAACCTTCTATTATACCATCATACTACCTTGATTTGAATCCAGTTTTATTAAATTGTGTTTAAGAATTTTCTGTAGCATCTTTTACTTCACTTGATTGAATGGTCATGTGCTAAACATGACCTTAGCATTTTGTCAATAGAATTTAGCTGAGTATCTGGAAGCATTCAAACAAATAATTCATTTTGAATCTTTAGATGACCTTGAGCAAAAGTCTTTACTTTTTCATTTGTCATAATTTTACAGAAATTAGGGATGATTTGTTTCTCTGACAAACAGCAAACTTGACTTTAATACTTTCTATTGAATTTCATAGGGTACTTGCTTAATGGCATAATTTTACAGAAATTATGGATGCTTTGTTTCTCTGACAAACAGCAAACTTGACTTTAATACTTTCTATTGAATTTCATAGGGTACTTGCTTAATGGCATAATTTTACAGAAATTAGGGATGCTTTGTTTCTCTGACAAACAGCAAACTTGACTTCAATGTTTTGTATTGAATTTCATAGCATACTTGCTTATTGTGGTTTGAATGCTATTTTATTTGAAGCTTGAATTATTTAATCCTTGGATTTTTACAATGACAACTTTGAGCAGATTACATTATCAGTTACATGTTTGACCTTTTCAAATGGAAAAAGTTCAGATTTATATTGGTCTTTGGAAAAACTTGATATTGATAGGAATTGATCGTTATTCGCCAGGAGAGAATCAGTTTTTGGCAGTGATTGATGCATACACAAAGCCGAAGTGTCACTCGGCAGACTCCGATGCTGTCTACAGGTAAGTAAAAGCTTGTTACAATGATGCTGTTATTGTTATTTATGTCGCTGATTGGAGAAGAGCTTTCAGCATTGTATTTTGTATGAAATTTTTATTTACCTTCTTCTGATGAGTTTTCTTTACTCATTTTCCATGTTGTACAAAATCCCTATCCCAGCCCTCTCTCTCTTACTTACACACACAAGCATAAGCACGTGTTTATAAGTTTATCATTGTGTTTTGTTCCTTTTTTACATTTGAGCTGTAATGTTCATATATATAGATTTTTGGTGATATCAAGGAAGAGAGAGGCAATGTATTTATAATTTTAAAGTTACCACCGAACCCAAAAAGTTAATTAGACAGGTAAAACTAAAAAATCTATAAGCTTTAACATGCACCTTCACATGTAAGGCCTCTGTGTTGAATACAAAACAGCATAATTTGTTATAACTCAATTAATACAATGAGGATATCAAGCATAAGACCACTTGGTCCACTTGCTCTCATACCATGTTGAGTTATTACTCAATTCAAAAGCTTAAGTTTATAGATAAAGATTTAACAACAGTAGTTGAGTTTTAACCTATGATATTGCCTAAATCTTAAGAAATTCGTTCAAATATATCTTGTAACAATTTTCTGATGTGAATTTGTCTCTTATCTTAATAGGGTTCTTGTTCAACATCCATTTTTGCGTACTAAACTTCACCATATATGTGCACAGTTCTTTGAGTGGCCTCCAGAGAAAACAGGTCCTTCACTTTTCTTCTGTGTGCATGCAACATGCTTATTAAGTCTTTGTGCTCACATGCATGTAGTTCCAAAATTGTTAACCAAGCATTATTCGATTTCCGGCATCAAGTTTGCTTAATATTATTTAAAAAAGTAAATGTTAGTTTATATTCTGAAATTAGCATTTTAGAACCCCTAATTTTTTTTCGTGGAGGGAAGTTCACAAGTTTTTATTTTTTTTAATTCTTTTTATTCTTTTGAAACTTAGAAAAATTAAATTATTAAAATGGAACTAAGATATTGGTTTTTATTTCTTAATCTCTCAAAGTTCTGCAAATTTTATGGTAAGAGTATTAAAATTTTGAAGCTAAAGTGTTTTGTTTGATATTCTTAAATCAAGGAACAGAACATGATTTCTTTTTAAAAGATTTTGTGTAAGCTCATAGAGAGGAACTTTTAGTTGTCTTCTAGTGCTTATCTTTATTTGCTGCATCAGATCTCCCATGTTTACTTTCCACTTTTTTCACCAACCACGGAAGTTTTGTTCAGCCTTTTTTTTTTTTCCCAATTTTATCTTTCATACTCATATTTGATCAATTATTCAGATGAGTATATCCTTCCAAAGATCGCTGAAAGAGATTTACGGCGATTTGCTAATTTGCGCACTTCATCAGCAGGAGTTGAACTTCCACTACATAAGGTACACCTCTATGCAATCAGGTGATTGCTGTTCTTGTATACTTTTGTATGATGTGCAAGTCAGAGTATTTCCTTTGATAATTGATTAAGCTATCAAGTAAAGGCCAAAACCCATCATTTAGATTGGAACCATCATCTTCAGGATCTATGGTTAACAATATAAAGATGCTAGTCTCAAGTTTCCAAAAAGATCATCTGGGGAAAGGTCCTTATTCCAAGTCCAACTGCTACAAAAAGTAGATATGCTCTGAGCCTCTGACTTGCTGAAATCTGCTTATTGAGGATTTTGCAAACTAGTTCAGAAACTGGATTTAGTCACTATATCTTATACCTAAGAAGTAAACGCATGCACTGATATCATGACGAATTCTTGGCATCCCACTCTATAAAACTTTTTTCCACATCAACCTACAGGTGTGAGCGTCGTTTTGCTATGTGATAGCTTTGGCAAAATTATAACTAATTTGTAGTCCAAACACTTTGATTGTTTCCATTGAACTAATAAAGAAGAAGTAAAAGGACTCATCAAGACATTTTAGTAAGATACATACTATATATACATGGCATATTCAAACAGCTCCTATTAAATTGTTCATTTATAATGGCTGCACTTTCTATTTAAATGCTCATTACACAATTTTGTCCCATGAGTTTTTGTTTGCATATTAATTCCTATGCTGTAACGACAGATCTCTGTTAAGGTTCCTGCAAGTTAGTGGTTCACTGGAGCTTACAGCCTCACTATGTGACTCACAAAAATTTCTGAATTACAGATGCCAGTTAAGTGCCCTGTAACAGCAATTATTAAACCTCGTAAAGTTCAGGGAACAGAATGCTTTGAGGTCTCATGGCAAGAGTCGTATGGCCTAAAAAGTTCCGTGGTTCCAGCAGAACTGATACAGAGGTAATATATCCTTGTTATCATTTAACAGTACTTCTATTATGATAATCAGTATTTAAATTACGCAAGTATAATTTCATGTTACATTTGTACAAATATGTACATTATGGGTGTTGGGTCAGGCCTGGTAAAAGCCCGGACTTGCAACAAAAAGAAAGAATACATATGCAAATGGATTATTGATCTTTTTGTGTTAATTTGTGATTAGCATATGGATGCTTTGTGCTGTAGTAATGGTATTCTCTAGGTGTTAACAGTCTAAAGTCTCTTTCGATGCCGGAAAGTATTTCTTTTCTTTGTTTAGACTTTTTTTTTTTTTTTTTTATCTGTAGTGCATGTCCTGAAAAAATCGTGGAGTTTAAAGAGAGAAGAGCTGCCCCAAGAACAAAGAAATCGAAACCCAGATCTCGTGTGTCTGAAATTGATCAGAAACTCCAAGCTCTGATGCTTGATATTGAATCAGAAAGCAGTGCCGTTCACAATGTCACCTTTTCTTCAAAAACAGTGATGCCAGAAAACAATTCTGGTGTTTCAGAAGTTAATTTTACAAGGCATGATACATTACTTATTGCGGAGTCAGAAAGCAATGGTGATGGCAATCCTACAATGCCTTTGTATCAAACTGCTATAGAGTCGGACATTAAGGCTGATGGCAATGCCACAAATACAATGCCTTCGAATCCAACTGCTCCAACTGTTGCTAAAGATGAAGTCATTGATCTTATTAGCCCTTCACCAGCATGCTGCCGTAATGTTACCAGAAGTCGAAAAATGAATGATCAGCCTATTAGTGTAATTGATTTAAGTGATTCAGAAACTGAAAGATCACCTGAGCATGAGCGGAAAGCTAGAGAGCTTCGATTGTTTCTAGCCAGCGTCAGAGAAGAAAAACTCTGAAACCGCCATCAAGTTTATGTATATTTATGTATTGTATTTGTAATTTGTCAATAAGTACAAAATGACTTACATTGGTCAGTTTCTGACCAGACAGAAATGGTCTTATTGGTAACTTGATGCAGTATCCCGATTAACTCAACTTTTCAATTTTTTGCATCAATAAACATTAGTTCATAATTTTATCTTACAAATTTTTCTCACAATCTTCAATGTGACAGTTCACAATTGATCAACTTGCAAATCACAATTGGACAAGCAAGATCCATTGCTTGCAAAGAGACGAGATCCATTTACGAGTTGATCAATTATCAACTACTACGTTGAGATTGTGAGAAATATTAAGAAGACATCTCTAAAACCAAGTAATGTTACCAGGCTACCACCCAGTAATTGTTACGGGGAAGTAGCAACCTTTCAATTTTCAATAATGGATCTAAGTTATAGTCTTACAGAAAATACAAGGGATGATACTAACAGTTAATTAAAAAGAATAAAAAGAAAGAAGATTTTGATTATATATGTCTAAAATAAAACAATGCATAAAACCTTTCAATTAGCCACGCACCTGCTTCCCCTCCTGTGAATTATAGGTGAGTCACAATAATTGATCTTTTGCCACGTTATCAAAGTGGCTAATTACAAACTCTACAACATAAGCCAAATGGAACAAATACACTGCCATTTCCAGGTGTATCAATTATAATTTACAGACATTATTCAGGAAGCTCCAGATACATACCCACATATATAATGGATGAAAGAGAGAACAATTTATATTCAAAATTCTTCACACAATGCTATTTACAAAACTGAATGCATAACATCATTTGAGTGAGTCTTGGTAACAATGATTTTGCTGTCTCACCATGTTATGTGTGCAACCCTCAGTATTTAGAACAGCCTATTTTATCTGTGATGCAAAAAATCAAAGTGTCAAAGCTATAAACTAATATCACCAAATGCTAAGTCACAATCTTTCAAATGACAGCAAAAATATAAAAATGATTAGACTAGGTATCCTCCCATAATTTTGTCAACTAATTTCCAGTAGCTGATCAAAGCAAATGTAGCAGATGAAGATGACAGAAGAAACATTTACCTTTTCGAACCTTCAAGAATCTCAAGTAAGATATAATAAAGATGAGAGAAAAACTTAGTAAAAACAACATTTATTTCTACCTGATTAGTAGTTCCTTGGCAATACTTCTAGCATGCTTCAAAAGCTGGAAGCTTCTTGTAGGGTTGTCATCAAGTGTTGCAAACTTCAAGTTTAGAAAGAACTCCTGGAAAGCACTACTTAATTCTTCTTCTGGACCCTCTAACCTTTTTGCGCAGCAATTATCAGGTAATACCAACATGTTTTCTTGTGCTCCTTGTTCTTGACCACTTGGAATTTCTAGTAACTGCCTTTTTCCTTTTATGTTTCCCACTCTACTGCTTACTTCTGCTTCCAGTTTTGCAGCCATGACATTGGCTCGAGTAATACAGGATGAAGGTAGCTGCAACAAGATAATGAGCGCACAACTGACTTAAAGATGAGTCAACTCAATAAAAAGCGAGCAATTTAACTTCTTAATCTAGAAACTCTACAGTGAACAATCTCAGACGTTCAAGTAGCTTCAAAATTGGCCAAGCCTCGTGTTAACTATAGACACCAGATGCCATGAATTGCAGAGCTCAATTGCAGAGCCTCGTGTTACTTCTAGACCAAACCTTCAGCTTTCCTTATGGATTTTGCATCATGGAATTTTAGGTAGGAATCCAGTTTACAGCAAGATTGTTATTTCAGGAGTACATAATATAATCACTTAACTGAACAAAGGGGCAAGAAGAGTCTTTGAATTACCTGTGCAAGCTGAGCAACCTTAAATCCGAAACTCCTCTCAGAGACACCTGGCACAAGCTTGTATAGGTAGGTGACATCTTCTTGATTAGATTTACCGTTCGTTGTCTCCATAACATTATGTGAGGTCAAATATGAAACATGGTATGCCCCCACAGAGCCAGGAAACTCATTTTTGATATCAGCAATTTTTGGGTAGTGGGTAACAAAGAGAACTATGCACTTTTGCTCTAGTAGATGATGCAACGTAGCATAAGCAATAGCTACACCATCATGTGTACTTGTGCCTCTCCCAAGTTCATCAATAATAACCAGAGACTGTGACGTGCAATTGTGGAGTATATGAGAAGCCTCACTCAGTTCTTCTAGAAAGGTGCTTCTCCCTTGTTGGATACTGTCAGAAGCACCCATCCGAGTGTGGATGCCATTAAGCACATGCAATTCTGCTGATGATGCTGGTACAAAGGAACCAACCTAGAGGGATCAGAAGCATCAATAAAGCAATGGCTATAAGGTATTGACTTTATCAAACAGAAGGAATAACAGAACAATTTTGAAATCTATGAGCCCTATATGACAATCTTCTCACAGAAGAAGAAAGTTGGAACAAATTCATCCATTTTAGAGCTCAATGCATAGTCATGCAATCAACACCAGTAGGAGAAGACAAATGAAACACGTTCATCCATTTACACCACAATGCAAACTCGTGCATTTATTCTGCAAAGAATGATGTACCAACGAAGAACTAGCATATGGATAACCTGATTATATCGGCAAAACCAGTAAGATCACATCTTTGCCATAAATTATTTCCTAAAAGATGCATTCTTGTGGTACAACATGATGATAAAGACAACCCGAGAACCAGCTATGATAAAGACAACCTTACACGATTTTTGAAAAGAAACTATACATTTTTTGGTATGTTGCATAACAGGGAAAGGGGCCGAATATATCAAATATAACAAAAATATCAGCTCTTGGCTCTTGCTCTACCTGAGCCATAATAGCAATGAGAGCAACTTGACGAATATAGCAACTCTTTCCGCCCATGTTGGGTCCAGTAACTATCTGGCAATGCTCTCTGTCAGCATGCAAGTTTGTGTCATTCGGGACAAAATTGTCTTGAAGAATAGTATCCAAAACCTGGTCAAATTGGATAACCAATGAAAAAACACATAATTATAAGATATATAAACAACTATCTAAAAGCCCTGCCAACCAACTTCCTTCAGCTTACCTCCACAACAAAAGTGTACGCACCCATAAAAGTGAACAATTAACTACCAACCCTCTCCCCGTCATCACACCTAGCCTCTTTTCCCTCCCAAAAAGGGACTAAAATAAACTTATGCGTATGGAGAGCAGAATTCAATTTGTTGGCACCAGCTCAGACACAAGGAGGGAGAGAGAGCAAGAGTGAATTAGCTATATCTAGCCTTATATGTAATCAAGCGGACCCACATCTACTATTATCCAAGAATTGAGATGAAACCCATTGCTATGACCTGAGTCATCTCATTATATATTTGTCCAAATGATCATGAAGTTGTAATTTTCTTAAGACCAAAATTTTTATGCAATGAGCAACCCTCCAAAAGATTATGTAAGATTCTTTAATAATTATCAACCAACCAAGCAAACCATTAAGTACCAAAAATGGAACTTGTCCTACTGAGACAACCAAAAACTAAGTACAGGAGAAAACTATATTTGATGTGAGTCTATCATATATTTCTTGCAAAACCGAATCTTATTCACTTCTAAATTCATCATTAACATTATCTATAATGTCTCATTCACTAGATGTGAATTCTTTCAATTGTATCAGAGCAAAGAATTTAAGTAAAGTTTTCTTTTATTTCGTATTCAGCTCTGTAAGCACAAAAATCTTACACTTTTTATATTGACTCTGTTAACCATGGTTTACTTAACCATAGTTCTATTAACTACATCTAACTAAACTAACAACTTGCTTTTACAAATTACAAAACTATCCAACTATTCAAGTAACAAAACTGCACAAAACTTATACAACCTTAATAATCCAAGATCTTTCATACCTTCAATTATGATCAAAATCTTCACAATCTCATTCCCTTTTGTGCATCAAATAATAGCATAACAAAAATCACATTTCTATGCTCAATTGATTCTTATACAAAATCTGGGGCCCACAGGTGAGACCCTCAGTGGACCTCACTCATAAGAGTGGAATATGGATAGGGAACTTCCTTCAGGCAAGTTGGGTCAATTTTTGAGGATTGATATAGAAACTTGATCAGTTCAAATACCTTATATAAATTTATTGACATACAGATTTATTATTATTATTATTATTCTTATTATTTTTTTTTTTTTTTGGCTCATTCCATGAAAATTTTGTAAGCAACAAGTGTAATTAGATTTGATAAGCTTGAGATACATACTGGGTGACGACCAGAGCAGACATGTATTTGAACAGGTTCATTGTCATCCACAAACACTGGACGAACATAATTCTGCAACAGATTTTTAGAGAGGATTACATGAACTCAAAGCAGTAGCAAAATGAATCATAAAGCTTAATGTCCTAAAAAAATATACCTTATTTCTCGAAAGAATGGCAAGTGAATGCAAACAGTCCAAAGTGGCTAGAGCTTGCACAGCAGCTTGGAAATCTGAATAGTATTCAGCAAATCCTCTAAGAAAGCTATCCCAAGCAGCTCGGCAGACAACAGCAAGTTCCTCATTGGCCAATGCTAATTTGTCTAAAGCAGTCAATACTTCAGGCGGGTGATAGCGGATTTTTTTATTTGTACTATTTATCTTAACCCAATTCAAAGGTACCTTGAGATCAATAGGTAACTGCAGTCAAGCAACATGGTTCAGCTGTGATGATCAAGTTATCAAAGCTCAAGAAATATTAAAAACTTGCAACATGTTATTGAGGCAAATTCTGTCATAGACAACCAGCACACAAGCAGAGGTAGAGAAGGGGATAAAAGACAAACAATTTTTAAAAAATAAAATAAAATAAAGTTTAAAAAAAAAAAAGAGAAAGATGAGAAAAGAAAACAATAATATCACCACCAGAAACAATAATTATAAGTAGAGGCAAAAAGTGGAAGACAAATATTTGTTTTGGTTAACCAAACAAACCCAGAAGACCCAAGACAAAATCTGAACTCTCGATACTAAGAAGAGAGTAACATCTGTAGCAACCATTAAACCAAAGTCCCATTCTTTTATAGCCAGTGCTAGATTATAATTGGCCTAAAATCTTAAGTTTATTGATAAAGGTCTGACAATAGTATGAAAGCTCTAA